CCCCACTGCACTCTCCAACCCCCCCCCCCCCGCACTCTATCCCCATTCCCTGTTAACTTCTGTGTCTTTCCATGATCCCATTGCTCTTTCTTCACCTCATCACTCTTCCAACAGTACAATGCTTGTACACTGCATGGTGGAAAAGGCCAGGAGCAGCGAGAGTTTGCACTATCCAACCTCAAGGCTGGGGCCAAGGATATTTTGGTGGCTACGGATGTGGCTGGTCGTGGTATCGACATCCAAGATGTTTCTATGGTTGTCAACTATGATATGGCCAAAAATATTGAAGGTAAGTGCACGCAAAAGCAGCTTCAATGCAGGGTAAAGTGACACTCCTTATCTCTTCCCACTCAAAGTTGGGGTGCTGCACTGAGAAGGCTATTGCTGCCTTCTCTCATAGCTCCAAGCTTGGGATTACTTGTCCCAGTGAGAAGAGCTCCTGCCCTTTACCTCACCTGGGTTTGTTATCCCAGCACCTGGAATAAGACTTCTGTCCTCAGGGATGTGGACAAGAATGGAGCTAGGCAACCCTCCATCTTAGTGTGGTAGGATGACCACAATCAGTAGAGGTAGTGGGGAGACAGACACCAGTGGAGAGCACTAGAGGCACTTCAGCTTAAAGCAGCACAAGGTGTATTTACAGCCTTTGGTGGTACAGTGGGGAGGATGCCTTTAGAAGTGGAGGCTTTAGACACTGCTCACCAGGGCTTCTGGCCTGGTACTGAGTGACCTTCCTCCCACCCCCCAGATTACATCCATCGCATTGGCCGCACGGGACGAGCAGGCAAGAGTGGTGTGGCTATCACCTTCCTCACCAAAGAGGACTCTGCTGTGTTCTATGAGCTGAAGCAAGCCATCCTGGAAAGCCCAGTGTCTTCCTGCCCCCCCGAGCTAGCCAACCACCCAGATGCCCAGCACAAGCCAGGCACCATCCTCACCAAGAAGCGCCGGGAAGAGACCATCTTTGCTTGACACAGCACTCTTCCCATGGGTTTGAGGGTATGCTCTGAAGCTCCCTGATGCCTGTTCTTCAGGACCCTCATATCCCTCTTTCCAGGTCCTCACTCTTGGGTTATTGGGGCTTAGGAAACAAACTCCCTGGCCTAAACCCTCAGGTCTGGAGGCCTGAGTGTGGAGCTGCAAAAGGGACAGGAAGATGCCATAGGAGGCAGAGGGAGCAAATTACCACAAATTTGGGTGCAGCACTGCCCCTCTAGGGGCTTTGGGATTGCACTGGGCCATCAGCTCTTGCCAGGTTATGGGGCAGCCAGTTGGCATTACCCCCCCAGCTGAACAGAAACCTGGCTGCTTGGATGGGATCTCCTTCAGCACAGACTTGACTATGTAGCTGTAAAATGCAGCAGCATCATTGCCCTAGATAACCTGCACCATGAGGATTATGGACCTTGGACTCTTAATTGTCATTTTGACAGCCATTTTCTCATCTGGATTATAAAACAAGTTGAGAGCCTTTAGAGCTGTGTACGGCCCCATGCCAGGGGGTGCTGTGCACTCTAGGCATCCCTTCCCCTGGGAATTTTTTTAGTAGATGTGGGGACAGGGTGACGCTGGCTGTGTCCATCTTTAAGTCACTGAGTAAAATTTCTGTTTTCTATTCTCTGAGAAGATGGGTTTGTATGTTCTGAGAATAAATACATGAAACTAAGGCTGTGTCTAGTTCTAGCTTAACTGATTTCCCAGGTTCTCCTTGGTATCACAGGAAAGGAGACAGTACTGGGCATGGTGGGTTGGCATGGAAAATGAGATAATCACATCGAGAGAAGAGCCTAGGGTCTCAGCTGATAGCCTAAGTCTATAGGTAGCACTTGAGGGGAGATGGAAGAGCTATGGCAGTAGAATCACAATGCACCTTCCCTCTGCTGTAGCCGCACATAACTTGTGACCCTAGCCTGGACACCCATTAGGGAGCTTTGCACAAGGATGAGAAAGGACAGTTGTGGAATTTTGACAGGTGAAGCACAGTTGGAACCACTCTTCACCCCGTCTCTTCTTGCCTGATACCTAGTCTTGGTACCCTTCCTTGGGGCTCCCTAGTTGCTGGGACCATTGCTCATGGACGGGGATGGTAAAAGGAGGGATGGGCACCAGTCATCAAAGGGTGAGGAACTGGGTGCGGCTGAGTTAGGTTGTGTTGAGGGGGCTTCAGGGCCTTGGTTCTCCCCCTGAGCCCCCTACTCACTTGCAACTTCCTTACCCCTCAGAAAGAGCTGAACACATACATGGAATCCAAGTTGCAGCTACTTCTAGGGCCTTTTTGGCCTGAGGCAAGGACGGTGTAAAGCTGTGACTAAGCCTCTTTTCCCCTACTTTCCAGAACAAGTCTCTTCTGTGGTGCTGAATGTCTCCCTCCAGAGACTTGGGCATGAGCGGGGGTTGGTGGGGGTGCCTAGGAGTATAATGCTTCCCCCAGTTCTGCCCTTTTCCTCTTTCCACTCAATGACCTCTGAGAGAAAAGGGAGACCATAATACTTTTACTCCTCCAGAGTTGGGCCACATAGTGAGGAACCTGACCACATGAGCCATAGATAGAACCGAAGCCTGAGGGACTGTGCATGGTGTTTATTAGTGATGACAGTGAGGTGGGGCAGGGTCTTGTGGAGCATGCTCTGGAAGTCACACTAGAGCCTTAAGGCAAGGGTAGCCAGGTACACAGGGCCTCTGGGGGCTGTCTGCTGGATCCTATCTCTCCCCATCTAACCCTAACCTAACCAGCAGCTGTGAGTCAGGGAACAAAGTCTGGAGCCCATATCTCCCAGGAGGCATGAGGGACAAGAACAGAAATGACAAGATGCAAGGGCAAAGAAAGAAAAGGCAAGGAGGCCCCCGAAGCTGTTCCATCCATCCTCTGCTGCACACACCCTCCCTTCCCAGACCCCTAATTCAGGTTGGTTCCCCTCTGCCATTTGGCTTGACCATGCTCCTGGTCCCTGGTATTGTCAGATGTTAAGAAGCTTCTTTGCAGGAGAAGCCTGTGCTTTCCTCCAGGAGCCTCCTTCAGCTGTGAAATCTTTCTCTGGTCCCAGTCTAGCCCGCCTGCTGCTCCAGTCTTGTACATGGATGCCCCACCCCAGCTGACGGATGAGAGTGCCAGCCTGTTGGGCTTTGATTGTCTCATTTCTAATGCGTGGCAGTGAGACGAGTGGAGGCCCTTGGACTCCAAAGCACCACCCCTGAGTCCCTAGAATGTTAGGACTTGTGCCCACTCAGGGACCTTGTTTCTTCCTCATGTTATGTTACCCACACCCCCACCCTCTTGTCACTTTGGGGGAGCATCCCTTCCCTGAGTCTAGTGGGAAGGCCCCTATTAAGGGGGTCTTGGCCTGAGGGTACTACCCAGTGGGGCAGCTTCTTGTGCAGGAGGAGAGGAAGGTGCCAGGGGTGCAGAACACACAGCTAGTACCTGCAGTGGGAGCCTAGGGGGTCACTGTGACCAGGAGGTGAGGGTGCCCCGTGCTTCTCCCAGAACCTTGGGACCACAGGCAGCCCTGGAGCTGGGGCTGGGCAGAGGGTTGTGGGGGCTGAGCCTAGCGCCAGCCTAACGCCAGTCTAACTCCAACCTGCCTGGAGTGGGTGCCCCAGCCAGCTGGGCCTGTGCCTGCCAGGGCAGGGCAGCAGGAGGCTGTCAGTAGCTATCTTTGGGCCAAGGCCGGTTGCGCTGCCAGTTCCGGTCATTGTGGTTGTGCTCCGAGTCCTGGGCTAGGAGCCGGTCTTGGGGGTCATGCCCATTAGTACTAGGCAGCCCCGAGGTGTGTTGGCGGTGAGGCTGGTACAGGTCCTGGTAGGCATCTGCATAGTCCTCCTCCAGCTGACGGGAGCTACGCTGTGAAGATCCTGTCCAGGCTTGGCGGGAGCTCTCGCTGGCCTCATCTGAGGGCATCAAGCTGTCCCGCTCCAGGGGTGAGTGCTCCTCGCCACGCTCCCCCAGCAGCTGTTGGTTCTGGATGCCACACAACAGCTCTAAGTGAGGCAGCACAAACCTCCCCTTGGCCTCCCTCCCACCTCTGGTAAGGCAAGGGATTCTTCCCCCTCAACTCTGAATTCTCTGGTACAGGAAACAGTGCAAAGAAGAAACATGCTGGAGCATTCTTCCTCTAAGGATATAGAAAATTGGAGCTTTTGACTTCCCCAAAATTCAGGCTCTGCCTTAAAGACAGCCTGGGAGAAGGGTTTGGAGATTGTGTTTCTCTTGACCCCTAGAAAACTAATCTCTGATTACCCATCTCATTGATTTACTCTCTCTCACATCAAGTAGTTCCTTCACCCATCTGCAGTAGCTCTCTACGGCAGAGCTGACAGTTCTACAATCCTTTGGCCTTCTGAACTGGAGGCTAAGGATGATCCTCTGGGCAGAGAGGGGGCAGTGCTTTGTCTGGCTTAGCCTGAGCACCTGTGCCCACTGGAAACGATTACCTGAAGTCCGGTGATGGTGCTGGGAGGGCCCAGTCCAGGGCCGGGGGCTGGGTGGTGGGTGGCCCTCCAGTAAACTTCTAGGTACTCAGCCAGGTGCTCACAGGCATCCTCCAGCTGGTTCTCATCGAGAATCACATCAAATGACTCCTGGGAAGGGAGGGTGAAGGGGGGACGTTGGCTTCCTTTCAGCAGCAGCCCCCCCACCCATCTCTACCACTCCCACAGTCCTGGAAGAGTGGGCACAGGAGCAGCTGATCCAGGCACTCACTGGTGGGCACTGAACCAGTTTATCATACGCCATCATCTGTACAGTCAGGTGCTTCATCTGTGACTTCCCCCGGGAGCGGATGAGACGCTGGAGGACCTGAGAGGGTAAGGGAGAACTGGGCCTGAGAAAAACTAGGAATGCCGCTCCACCTGTGATATGCTATCAGTAGCGGGCGAGGATGATTTGGAAGGGTGTTAAGGGGCAGCAGGAAAAGGGAACTCAGGTGCCCTAGCCAGGGACCAAGCAAAGTTGTGCCACATTGTGGGGGGGCAGCCCTGTGGGCCTCTTCCACCACTCCTGCTGACTTACCTTCGGTGAGGACACCTTGACGAAGACGATGATGGGGGCCAGTGAGGTCTTGGCCAGCTGCGCTGGGTGGTTGATGGTGTCAGCATCCAACACTACTAGCTGCAGGGATTTGGCCAGCTCGAATATGCGCTCGATCTCACTCTGTACTTCAGCTGTGGAGGGAGGGAGCAGCAGTGCTCGCCAGGGGCTCTGCCCACTGCTCACCCCAACAGGGCTTTAAGGCTCCTACAGCGAATGGGAAGGAATTGGAGGAAGAGGGTACTCATGGGAATTGAGAGTGGGTTAGGTTCTTGCCGATCCTGGGACAGGTAGACGGGCTGGGCAGAAGGACAAGGAGTAGGGATAGAGAAAAGGGAGGAAGGTTCTCACTAGCACTTGAGTGGGCAGAGAAACAGGAGATGGGGACTTCTCACCAATGCTGGAGCGAGCAGAGGACCTCTCAATGATGGTTCTCTTGCCGGGATTGTTGAGCACAGATCGCTTTGCAAGTGAGAGGTCAGCTGTGACGCGCGTGATGGAGATCCTACGAGTGGGGGTGGAGAATCACTTCTAAACTTAAAGCCTAGGCCTCTTCTTACCCAGCTCCCACTGACTTCTCTTTAGAGAAGACTTGCTACAGGTATCTGGAAGTAGGCAATGCCCAGGCTGGAACAGCTTACCTGCCATCAAACCTATGTTTGAGGAAGTCGAATAGAGCCTTCTGCATCATGTCTGTGACCTGGGGGTAGGGCATAGAACTGACTGACGGGACCTCTTGGAGAGGCAGCATCTGCATGCATGGCCCCAGAGTCCAACCCCTCCACACACACACTTCCCACTATCCCTGGGGCCTTCCAGTGGCAGGTTTGGCAGAGGTGTCTGTTTGGGATCAGGAATCTCCTCTTACCTCATAACCTTTCAGAGAGGGTCCCACCAGCACCACAGGCCGCATGGAGGGCACCACATCATATGGGGGCACATGTTCCGCCTGCAGAATGGACATGAGATCAGATCAAAAAATGGCCCTGGTGCCTGTCTTCTGCCTGATTGGTGTGGGGGCAGATGCAGAAGTTCTGGGCTCCCTCCCCTTTCTGTCCTGCCCCTTCAACAATGACTGCCCAGAAAACTGTCCCCAGAATCATAAGCCACGAGCCCCCCAGCCCAGGTCCCTTCCTTAACTCACCTGCTTTTGCTTCTGCTTTGCTTTTTGGGAAAGGAAATAAAAGATTAAAGTTGGTGAAGGGGGTCAAGGCCCTGGGGGCATGGTATTCCCTTCCCCAGGGGGGATCCTGGGCTTCTCCCGGCTCTTTTGATCCCTCCACCAACCCCTTCCTACACAGTTCACTTGGGGAGAAACCCCCCTTTCCCTGTGTCTTAGTTACCCACCCGCCCAAGATGGGTGGGTTGGGGGGAGGCTACCTAGAGATGGAGGAGGGGAGCGCCGGTTGCCTATGTCACTCAGGCTGGAGGGGTTCCCGGATCTCCTGAGAGAAGGAGGTGAGAAAGAGAGAACATGTCTCAGAGTGTGTGTGTTCTATACATTATTTAATAGTTGCACAAGTTTTCATCTACTTTAATGAGAGAAGTGTCCCTGTGATATGTGTGCATCTGTGTGTGTATGCTTGTATATTTGTGTGGTGTAAACGTGTGCAGCTGGGTACGTGACTGTATTTGTCAGGGGGATATGTGTGCACGTGTGGTGACATGTACTGGGGGTAAAGTGCAGTTTGGGGGGTGCTTATTGGCTCGCAACACTGCTCTCACCTGGCCTTCTGCTCCTGTTTGAGCCGGATGCTCTCCAGGCGCTGGGGGCTGGGGATGAAGGCGATGTCCCCGCCCTCCTTCACTAGGCGCCCGATCCACCAGTCATTGCTGTACTTCTGGGGGTGGGGTGGAGCAGGAAGGGGCAGTGAGAGGAGCCGGCCCAGGCCTCAGGCCTGGCTCTTCAATGTGAAGGAGCCAGGGAGGCTGGTCTGAGGAAGGCAGCGCAAGGGGCAAGGGGCAGGCGAAGGTGTCAGAGGGAAAGGCAGCCAGCATTTAGCCACCCAATATTTCAGAGTGAGGCATCACAGTGGCCGCAGGGAACCTCAGAAGCAGCTAATCTAACTGCTCATTTTACAGATATGGAGACCAAGGCCCAAGCCAAGTCTCAGAAGGATGGATATCCTGGAGATCAGGTCTTGGATATTAGGGGTGTACAGGTGTGTGTTAAGGATAAGGGATGAGGAGTTTTGGGACTTCTTGTTTAGACTGAGGGCTGAAGTAAGAGGCATTAGGATATGGGGCAGGAGCAGGAAAATTAAGTGGTAGAGGCTTCCGGGAGAAGGGGGGTCAATCACCTCTTTAATGTGCAGAAAATCTTTGGCCTCGAAGTTGACTCCAGAGCCCTGGACTGGGCACTCCTCGTCCAGTACGCCACAGTAGCTGACATTGGTCCTCACAGCAAATGCCACAGGTTTGTGCTGGAGAATTTGGCCATTAGTGCAAGTGACAGGAGCCTCAGAGCACAGCTTCCAGCTTCAGTGCTCCATGAGCAGAAGGCAGAGGGCCCAGGGGAGGGGCTCAGTGCCGGCCACTGCCTCTGCCTCTCACACACACTCATACTCCACTACATGCTGCCCAGTGACTCTCAGGACTTGGGACCGAGTACAGGTTTCCACCCAGCCTGCCTCCCATCTTGCCCCTGCTCAGAGGTATACCTTGGCCCTTTCGAGCTGCTGCTGAGCCTGGCTCTCCACTTCACGCCGGGCACTCTCCCGGTCCTCCTCCAGGGAAACGTCTGAGTCCAGAGATGGGCGGCTGGTGTAGGAGTCTGCTGAACCCTGGCGTGGGAGAGAGGCTGTGACACCTGGGCTCAGATGTGAAGAACATCATAGAGGCACTCTCCTAACCCTACAGTGGTACCTCTACCACCCCAGCCTCTCCATCTCCTAGGGGGTGGGTGGACCCCTGTGGTCCCTCCTATCCCTTGAAGAAGGGTCCCAGTGGCTCTGAGGCTGCAGGAAAGCTGGGCCAATCCATGTGTGTGAAGATCTGGGCTCCTCCTTCCCAAAGCCTATTAATACTGCAGCTTTGAACACGGCCTTCACTTCTCTCCTTCTCCCCTCTACCATGTTCTCTGAGGCAGAGGGAAGGGAGACGTACTCAAGATGATATATTGGAGATGATTCTGAATCCAGGAGACCCAACCCTCTTGTTCATACCGGCCTGCAAAGCATCCTGGACATTTCCCTTTAAGATGTCTGGCAGGAGTACAGCCAGCCGGCAACAGTCAAGAGAGGCTGGGTGGCAGGGCACTGGCCCTAAGTGTTGGGATATAGCCATCTGCCCCCTTAGGTCTCACCTTCCCTACTCCAATGGGGCTTTGAAGGATCCTAAGTGGTGAGTCCCTACCCTCCATGGTGAAGAGAAGGGCCCAGAGCTGCCAACTCCTGGAAGTTACCTCACCTTTACTCTCCCCACCCCCACATTCTTTCCTCCCACACCTGCTGGGGCAACTGGCCAGGTGTGGGCAGCAAACAAGACACAGACTAAGAGGGCAACATAAAGCTATCTCCCCAGGCACAGGTGAAGCTGGGCCACGCCTACTACTCGGCCTACATCTCCCCACCCCTTTCCCAAGCCCAGGGGATATCAGGCCCTGGAGGAAGGCCGGCTTGTGCCAGGCAACCCAGCTGAGAAGTGGACTCTGGGGATGAGGGAAGGGGAGCTTTGGTAATGTGAGCAAGGACAATCTTTGAGTCCTGCCCATAGGAAGGGTCTTTAGGCAATGAGAGTGCATTTGGAGGGTTGCAGAGCTCACCTTCAATGCCATGAGGGAGATGCACAAATGAGTAAGGGAAGCTGGATTTTAAGACAACGGGCGGGAAGTTAGGATGTCTGGGTTTTCCCCTTAGTCTAGGGAAAAGGGAATGTTTCATTTTCTGCTTCAGTTTCCCCTCTTTATGGGCAGAAGCCTAAAGTGATACTTCCCTCAATTCTGAGGTGCCAGTAGCAGAGAAAAGGTATGAACCCAGATAAGGGGTTCACGCGGGAGAGTGTGTGTAGGGGAAGGAGCTTTAGAATGTTCTCGGGCTGAGGAACATTCCTTCAAGCCCACTGTGCATGACCACCTACAGAAGACCGCAGAGGCCAGACTCTCAGTGGAGAAGGCAAAATCACACATCTGTCCACCATGCTCTCTGGTCCTATGCCACCTTGGGCAGGAGGACTGGTTGGCTTGGTGTCAGCCTGGGCCACGTAGCCTAACCTAAAGACAATGTCTGTAGTAGACCAAAGGCATGAAGATAGCTCAAGGGAGAGAAGTCTTTCATTTTACAAGAGTAAAGTCTGCCTCCTGTTCCTCATCTTTACTGAGAGCAAAATAAGGCTGGCTTGGCAGCAAGATGATGAGAGACTGAGTCCCAGAAAGAACCTTTGCACAAGAGAGGGACCGCCTTTCCAAGGGTCTTAGGCCACAAGAGGTACTTCTGTGGGACACGGCCATCTGAAGTGGATAGAGGCTCATAAGCTGGGAGGCAGGCGGCTAGGCAGGATGACCTCTTACTTTGGTCCATATACATCAGATACCCTCAAGATGCCCAGCACTCTGCTGGGAGAGGATTCCGACCTTTACTCCCTGCTCTCCATGTTCTCGCCTAATTTAGTAATCTTAATGCTCCTGCCTGGGTCATCTGGGTTACCTGGCCTCCTAAGGTGGGAATGACATAAATATTCATGAGCTGTGCTCAGAATGGAACCCCCTCTCCATTACCCCCAAGTTCTCAGGGCTCACCCATCTCTCATGCTCTGGTATCCCTTTGGGAGGCCACAGCTGCCCTGCCAAGGATATTCTGGGGTTTTACCTTCCCCACCCTCTGCTATGCCCAAATAGCCAAAGGCTCAGTACTTTGGAGCTGCCAGGAGTTGGCACAGTGCCCTGGTGGTGCCCCCCTTGCCTGGTGAGTGTGTGGGCAGGCTGCAGCTCCTCTCTTGCCTGGCACGGGGGAAGGAGAGGAGGGAGATGAGCCGGTGGATTTATTTAGAGCCTGATCTCCCTCCTACTGCTTCAGAGGGGGCCTCAGGGAGAGCAAGGAACCAGGCAAGAGAAAGGACAGCAGGGGAGGGTGATCCGGAAACAGAGAGGGATGGGGAGGGAGCAATGGGTCAGCAGGCTGCCCTCCAACACCATCCACAGGTCAACCTTGCCCTTGCAACAGCCCTTGCCTTCTCTCCAGGGATGGGAAGAACCTCCTAGGGCTCTCTAGCCCGACAGAGAAGTTTGTTCTCAAACTCACCTTGGCACCCTGGGTTATGCCAGCTGTCCCTTCAACTGTCAGAAAGAGGTGTCCACCAGAGCCTTGAAAATCATCTGCTCTGGCTGTAATGTAATTAGCCCAGAGGCCCTATGGAGAATTGGGCCCAGAAGCAGCCTAGTCCCAGAAAAGGACTGATGGATGCCTATTCTGCACCCTAACACTCATGTGTCTCAGGTCTGGCAGCAAGAGATGGGAGAAGACTTGAACATACTCCTTTCAGCCCCAGGGGTGCTCTACCCTCCACACCTCTCTGGGGTCCCTTCCAGGCCATCTAGAGCATCTTTCCTAAGGAGGCCTTCTTGCAGACGTTTGAGGGAAGGTTGGCAGCTCCAAGAGGCTGACAGGCTGCCCCCCATTCTTGCCCCATCTTTCCAGGCACTCTCCCTGCTCTCTCAGCTCCGGGAATCACTGCCTAATGAGCTGATTTGTCTCAGTGGGTCAGGAGATAAAAGCAAAGGGGAGAATTAAATATTTATCGGTTGCCTGGTTCTCTGAGCAAAGAGCTTCCTCTCCATCCCCAGGTCCTTGGCTCCTCTGGCCTCACCTCCAGGACCTCGTGCTGAGCAGGAGCCCGGGATGCCCCCTGCTCTGAGGAAGCCTCAGCAGGGACTGTGGGATGGATGGGGCTCAGTCAGCTGGACCCCCACGTGCTGGGTGCCCAGGCTTCAGCCTGGGAGAGAAACTGGGCTAGAGGAAGGGCGAGGTGCTGAGGCTATGCGCAGAGATGGAGGCGGAAGGGAATGATGGAGCTCAAGTTTTACCACCCCTCTGTCTGAAGAGGCTGGTACCCGACTCTCTGATGTTCTCTCAGCTCCCTAATTTGTCGTTCACTTTAGGCACAGAAGGTCTGGAACATCTCTCCCCAAGAACTCCAGCTTCTCTCTAGCTGTTGTGTTCAGACCCCATAAATTCAGAATTTGGAACTCCAGACGTTGCGTCTTCCCTCTCTACAGCCTCAGTGCCCTTAGCCTCCGGCCCTTACCCTCTTCCCCTTCTGTCCTGGGCTTTAGAGCCACCTGCTCGAGCCTTTCCCCCACACTACCCCCTACTTGCACACACCCGAGGCCCCTGGGTCTAGGTCTGGGGCACTGGGAGCCCTTGGCATGAAAATCCATGTCCCCCCTTTTCTACAGCGCCCCCCTCCACGCCCCGCCCCGCCACGCCACTGAGGCGTTTCTCAAAGTCCTGAACTGGGGGAAGGGTCGAAGGGAGAGGAGGTGTCACCCCAACTTCCCCACCCCCACCCTCAGCGTGGGCACTCACCGCCTCCGAGTCCTCAAACCCGGGCACGTAGGAGTCGTCATACATGGGGGAGTCCGGGCGGGGGAAGCAAGCGACGCCGGGGGCGGGAGCGGCCCGGAGGCAGGGGTGAGGACAGCGGGCCGCGCCCGAGAGATGCCACCGAGCCCCGCAGCCCTGCGGGCGGCGACGGCGGCGCAGAGCGAGAGAGCGCGAAGGAGGGAGCGAGCCGCGAAGACCAGCTGCTCCGAGCTCAAATCACCGCTCCCGCACCCCCCCACCCCGGCCGGTCCCACCCCGAGCGCGGCTGAGGAATCTGGCGCCGGCTCCCACAACAATAGTGCCCGCCCACCTGACCCCCCT